TCTATTTAGTCAGACAGAGTTAATGTGAGAAACTCATCCTATAAACTGGACCAACCCAAATATTTTCTGTGGCTCTTATTAAAGACTCAGACACAAAATGGAAGAGCTACTAAAACCACATTAGCGTCATTAAATTAAATCTCCCGTTTGTTGCACATCTCTGCAGTGCAGAGGATTTAACTTATCATGCAGGGTCCGTCCAAGGCTTTATGAGGCCTTGAGCACAATTTGATGTAGGGGCCCCTCTTACTGTTAAAAAATCAGCATCTCTAACAACTTCTGTGCTAGTTTTAGTGAAATCTGGGAGAAGAGGAGGAGTTTATTTAGCCAACCTAAAAAGCAATAAGTTATAATTGCTGTTTACTAGTTTGTATTTGTGGGCAAGCAGAGCTCAAATGCAAAGATTAAACACACAGCATCAGATTGTTGCTATGGTAAGAAAACAGTTTAACTATGAATATTGTTCTTTGAACTTTTACAAAGTAGACTTGCCAGCTCCTTAAAATCTTACATATATTGAACAATCTAAAATCTTTTAATTTATGTATTGTGAAATCATTAGATCAAATTTAGCAGCACTGACCATCTGAAAAAAACAAATGTTGCATTTATGTATCTGTGGTTTATATTAAAATATTAGCATTTATGGGGCCCATAAAGTCCTGGGGGTCTTATGGAGCCGCTGACTAAATTTGGATTAAACGAAAGTGCAAATAATTGATATTCATTTTAATTGTGTTTTTTTGATTAGTTGTTTTTAACACTACTTGTGGGTTTAAATATCGTTTCACTGGTGGTCTTCCCACAACAGACAATTACCCAGTAATATTTTTACATTTCTTGTCTACTTAACAGCTTTTAATACAAAAACACGATGGACCGCTTCGGTGCCCCCATCACCGGGCTTAGCAAGTTATCAGTTGGACACCCTGCGATGTGTTCTGGGCTTTATTGCTTTGTGCAAGAAAACATTGGAAAAACAGTTAAGGCCATAAAGGGCCAATATTATGCAAAAATCACTTTTTGCATGTTTCAGTACTTCCATTTCAGTATCTCCTGCTTCTAGAAATATTCCAAGAGCAGAAAAAAATAACATAAAATAAACGCCCCGTTGATGGGAATAAGTAAATGTCCTGCTGGTGTTTGCAAAACAGCTGGTTTCAAAAACCTCTAACCTGTTGTGTCACAATTTGTTACCTAGCCAGAGTCCTATCAAATCTACCAACAGAACATGGCAGGATTTACCAAAAGTCTTGGACTATTCAACACAAATCTGCAGATAATGGTGATGAAAGTATATATTGATGTGTCGTGTGTGTTGTATTGTTGTTCAGCATGAACATTATTTGTCAGTTAGCATAAGCTAAAATTGTTTTTCAATTGTTGAGAGACGTGCTTATCCTCTAACCTTGCAAAAAATATATACATATAGGTTTTAATTGCAGGAAAAACAAAGTGTTTTGTGCTGAATTATTGAGCTTTTGGGTCTGAGGTGATGATGTAAACGCTGAGTTGGGAGGGCGTGCCCAGCAGCAGCTCATTTGCATAATCATGATGTAGCATTCCTAAATGAGCTCAAAATAGACAGAACAGATCGGGTGAAATCTCAATATCTGGGAATGATTCTGTGTATTAGATGTAATGGACATGTTTTGTTCAGTCCACTGATCTATTCCAGCTTGTTCAAGGAAGCATAATAATGGACCTTTAACAACCAAACATTACTAACCCATGAATGATTTGAAATGTTCTGCAAGCCTGCAAATGGTGGATCCATTTTATTATTCCCCATCTCATTTAATAATCCCCTTCCTCTGTTCAGGCATATGTGCACCTCTGTTTCAAAAAGCTAAATATTTTATCTCGACAATAAAACTAGTTTTCAGCAAATAAAAAGCACCACTTGCTTTTGAAGATGTTGCAGTGAACTCTGTGAGCTGAGGTCATCAAGTCCTTTGCATTCTTTTCAACAGTGATGCTGTGCAGTTTATCAGCTGCTTTATTCTAGTACAAACCACTAACACACACTGCCAATCAGCCACTGACAACTCATGGTTGAAATTGCACCAGAAACCTTATGCAAATTATACAACAGCAAAAATGCTGTTGAGTTCATGTTGCAATATGACATGAAATCAGAAATTTAAGTTCCTTCTGCACATTGTGTCAAATGCCTGTAGTTCAATATGTTCCATGGAATCAGGAGTTTAAGTTAAGAGATACAAAACAATCCCATCTAATTTACTTTATGTTTAAAAGGGGAATAAAAATTATTAAGAAAACAGAGCATTGTGTTCCAGTAACTCATGAAGTCAACCCGGAAGGCTTCAGGATTAGCAGCTTCTTGGACGATCAATTAAAAAGCAGAAAATGTTCCATATTAAGAATTGATTAAAGCATAGTTCAGAGTTCTTATTTAATTTGGTTAAAATCAGAATATATGAGCATCTATTTTAAATTATGCATTTTAACATCCAACTCTAACCAGGAGGAGTCAGTGCCTCAGCAGTCATGAACCTTGCTGGAGATGGAGACTCTACACCAGCTGAGTGATCTCAAATGGCTTTCCTGGAGAGCCAGAATACAACTTTCAGACACATCTCTGGTCCAACACACTGGAATTAAATGCTATAACTGCCTCACCAGCACACAGTCAGGCGCTGCAGAGCTCTGCGAGTGAGCTGATATTGGAGCCAAGTGTGCTGAAGCAGACAGAACTTCAGACAAAGACCCTGAAGGACTGGAGACTGAGACCACTGCTCTACAAACTGTGAAAAAATAATCATTTTAATTTTCTTTATTCTGCAAGTGTTTAGATTCTGTTGAGAAATTGCTGGTTTAACAACTTCTGAGTTTGATTTCAATTCTTGGATTTATTCTTCTTTTATGACAAATGATCAAAATAAATAACTAAAATAGGTTAAAGGTGGACACCCTTTAACCAAAGGGTGTCCACTAAGTCTAATGGTTTGGGCTCCCTACAATCTAGGGTTGCTCCTGTTTGGAAAAAGTTGAAATATTCCATGAAAGGTTAAGAATAAGGAAGACCAGCATCTGTCCCATCCTCATCCTGTTTCAGCCCGTCAACCAGAGTTCTGGCTCATCTGCCCTCTCCGTACCTGTGTGCTGCCACGGCCCGGCTGTTCAGGTACTTCTGAGCCGTCATCACACCCACGAATAGGAAACTCTTGGAGCTGGAATCCGGCATCACGGTCGTGGGGGAGCCGTCCGCCTGCGGTGCCCACAGGACTCTTCCGTGTTCGTTCCTGAGCCCCCCGTGGAGCCCGCAGGCGGCGGGATTGGCTTTGCGCTTCTGGCCGGCTCTTTTCAGCTCGGTCGCCTTAGGTAAGATGAGCCTGGAAGCCAGCGTGAAGCCGACCACCAGTCCCAGCAGAACACTAAACCATGCTCTTCTGCTTCGACCTGCCATTCCCCCAAAACTTAACCAGCTCGTCGGAAAATACTGCCTGGTTCTAAAACAGCGGTTCTCGAAGAAGAATGTCTAGGAAATAAAACCCAGGCAGTAAAAGACGGCAGGCAGCTAAAAGCGGCTCGGTGGGGTTCCAGAGGCTCACACACACAGTCTAGGAGCAGAAAAGCGCTTTTCTTCCAGATGCCCACGTAGCATCGCAACAGACTCCTCGAAGCCGCTACCTGAAGCTCCGAGCCCCGCCGCTGCCCGACCAGCCAGCAGCCCTCCACCGTCCACCGCAGGGGAATCACCGCCGAAGGACGCAGGTAGCGGCTTGCATTGCAGCTCGGAGCAGCGGATCCTGTCTGGTTTGTCCCCCGCACGGTAGCTGGAATGTCTGACAATCCAGATCGCTGATCGCGAAGGATTTAACACTGGTTTGACCCAAGTGCGATTCCGTAGAAATGTTCCGACGCAGCGTACCACGTTTTACCGGAAATCCCTTCTTAACCACCGGAGTTATGTGCAGTACATCTAATGTGGGGTTTTAACTGTGTTTATGATTATTAAAATGTGAGCAGAAGCCACAGGGCTGCTTCAATCTGAGGTTAATGTGCTGCTGCGGGTTCCAGCTGCGACCGAAAACTACCGCTTTAATATTTAGTGCCAACCCTTTGATTAAAATGGGATCGATAGGTTAAAATAGACATATCTATGTTTATTTTTATGTCGTCCTTTAAGTCAGGACATACAATTAAAAGAAATAAAAGAGTAGCATAGCTTATCTCGTGCGCCACCTAGCGGTTAAATTATTGTGAGTCTGGTTTTGCGTTGAGGGAAATGAAACAATCTAGTTTCGCATCTTCTGTATTTTTAGGCAACAGTCCATGTCTCGATGACAACATGGAATAAAAATTTAAATATTTCGGATGTTTTTCATTGTTTAGCTTTGTTTGAAAAGTTCTTAACTTCTACCGCTCTTTGTGTGATCAAATCCTGACTGACCCATTCCTCCTCCTGATTTCCCCTCTGCTTCTTAAAATCACCACGAGTTTTAAATGTGGTTCGAATCTGGGGCCACAGCTCCAAACCTCAATATTAAATTTTAACCATATTTAATATTTATAATGTTAAACAGACAAACACTTCTAGCACAGTTTCATCATAATTGGTCTTCTGGTTAAAGTAACTATTTTTGTTTGTTTAAGAACCTCACATCTGTGCTGATGTGACACAAAAGAAGTTTGGGGCAAAAAAAGACAAAGTATTTTGTTCTACATAATGTAAATCCCTTTATTCAATAAAGTTCTTTGTAATAAAACGTTCAAAAGCATTTGATTTTTGGGGGGTGCAATATGTCACCAAATTGGTCATTCTGCCAACATGCAGGAGGAAAGCTGTGCATTCTTTTATACATGACTTTGACTGGGCCATTCTAAAAAAGGAAAGGAAAAATACACAATACCCTGTTCAAAATAATTACAATTCCCAAAGTTAGTTAAGATAAGATGAACAGTTTACCTGCTGGTCAAACCCAGCTTTCCCAGCGATTATCTTCAATCAGTGGAATTGAACAGAGAAACAGACACAGATTTCTTACACTTTAATTTGTTTAGAATCACACAGTCAGACAGAATGTAAATAATATCTACTAGTTACAACTGCTGCTATGATTTTTCCTCAAATCTTTCAGAAATACACAACCATGAAAAAGCACCCTGACTGGGACAGATCAGCCAGACCTTCTGGTTAGAGACCATTTCAAGGAATGGCTTCATGTCAAGCTTCCAATGACACCAAGAACTGAGTACATGATGATCTGCTGTTATCCTAACAAAAGAGCTACTGAGGAAAAGAAAGGTCTAGTACACCCATTAAAATGCACTTTTATAGTATTCCTTCTGAAATAATCAAAGCTGCAGTAAGTAACTTTTACAAAAATTATGTTTTGATATTTGTTGAAACTGTCACATATGAGACAGATGTCTCATATGTGACATGATATGAGACATGTTTTTGTGAAAAAAAAGACCTTCTGATCTCCCAATGTGAACTAGAAACAACCAATCAAAGCCAAGAACAATATTTGTGCTGTCAATCAAAGTGCCCACCCTCCTTTTCCCATCCTCATGCTAGTTAGCATGGTCACAGATGTCAGCAGATAAAGGGTTTTCCTGGAACAGTAAGTTGTTTCTCTGCCGCAAGCACATTTAGCAGCGAGTACATGAAGGATGACTGACAGCACTGAGACCCTCCTCTGGTCTCTTGATTGGTGGTCTTTCGTTTGGAGCGATGCATTTCTTCAGATGGTAATAGCTCAGGGAGGAGGTGAAGGATATCAAACTTTAACACAAGTAATCTGTCACAAACTGCACATCACTAAGTTAGTTTTAGCAAATTTGTAAAAACATTTTTTATGAGTTATATACTGCAGCTGTAAAGATTATGTATTAAGTTAAAAAATTTTGACCCAAAGAATGAAGGAATTATGATAATTGGAACATTTTTACTCCAAGACAAAAATATTATTTGTATTTTTGTTAGATTTTTGATCGTGCAGTAAAATCATGTTGATGATGTTTCTCTACAGTCTCTATGGTGATTATCTCTAAATGGGTGTACCAACTTCTCCAGTACTGATGTTTAAGCAGTGATCTGAAAGCAGGAGCTCTGTTTCATTGTCAGCTTGGTCCCAACAATCAGAGTGCAGGTTAGTCTGGAGGCGGTCAGAGCACCTCCACCCTTTAACCTCATCCACTCCCTGAAGGCCCCCTCCTCCCTGGCCTCCAGGTGCAGGAGCCTCCTTGTCCCATCAGGGGATTGTAGTCTGAAACACAGAGACAAAAAAATTAGAATTCTGAGTTTATTTTACAGATACAGAGGTGAAATGTGTTTTTTATCCAGCAATCAGGCTGAGAAGAAACACTACACTTCAGCTGAAGCTTCTGTTTCTACACACTTAGTGCTTCTAGAGACTCGGCACCAAAGTCTAACTACTTAGTCGGGTTCAGTTTCTGGACCAGGTTCACATGAATCATCACTTCTCAATATGTTTGAACTCTGGGAGACATTAAAGCTTATTGTTATTGTCATTATTATTGTTAGGATGTTTGTGTAGAACCTAACCCAGCTTTAAACCCAACCAGAACCTCCTCTCCTTCCTACTGCTGTGTTTCTTGGTCTCCATGGTGATGGCTGTTCTAAGGAACATCTGAGGTTAGAGAACCAGAATATCTGGATTCATACTGAGATTAAATTTAATGGTTTACTATAAACTGCCTTCTGACTCCATTTAATTGAGCAAACTTGTTTTGAGGATATTTTAGTAAAGGGGGCACACTTTTAAACTATGATTTGTAAATTAATTTTATTACCATGGATAATTTTCCTTCCTGTTTGGGAAGAAACTGGTTCACACACGCAAATACACACACAAACACAAAATACTGTAGCAATGTAATCCTTGGCAGTTCGGTGCCATTTAAACATTATTTACATATTCTAAACATAATAATATGAGCTGTGGTGTTGTTGCAGCACACACAGCCTGATGATGAATCCTGCAGGCAGTGAGGCTCTTACCATTGGAGCGCAGCGGCTTCTTATCCGTCTTTGGTTTGACTCCAGCCGCTGCTGCACTCGCCTCCTCTGTGTTCTGCAGGAATCACACACAGTGAAACCACAGTGACATGACTGCAGCTGGTTCTATTCCAGCATTTACTGTTCACTTGTTCTTTCACGGCAGAAAGCAGGGTTCCTGACCTCAATCATTAGCCTAATATTCTGTCCTGAGATGAGACAAGGTCAGCTCACCTCAGATAGCTTGTGTCTTTTGGAGCTCTTCCCCTGCTTCATGCTCTCCCATTCCTCGATCTTCTGTCTTCTCTTCTCTTCTTCTTGCTGTTGATAAAAAACCGTGAGTAAAAGTCTATCTCGGTTCAGGTGGCCCACTATGCAGCCCCCGCTGCACCTGTTTCTGCTTCTCTTTAAAGGCAGCAGCTTTGGCATCCAGCTCCGCCTGCATCCTCTGCCGAGCTGCCTCCATGGCCTCCTGCCTCTTTGTTACCAGAGATGCATCTTCAGGAATGACAAACGAAAATTATGTTTGCGACAAAATCACTTCATAATTTTCACTGATAGGCCAGGTAAAGAGCTGGAGTCACAGCAGTGTTGTACTTCCCCAGGCCACTCCACCTGTTGCTGTGCACTGATGGCCAGCAGGCTGAAAGTTGGCCAAATTTAGCTTTAAAAGTATTTTTAGTAGAGAAAAATTTAAGATTACTTAAAATCTTAAATTTACTTAAAAATTTAAGTAATCTTTAGTGAAATTCAAACACGTAGCAGCTAACATTAGTTTTTTATACTTTCATAACTCCAAAAAAAGCAGACCTGCGAAGGGTGGAATATCTTGTACAACAGCTGCTTAAAAGAAACTGTGGCTCACATTTAACAGCCATAGTTTCTGCCTTTGTGCATTAAAACCAAAGCAACTATGAAGAATTGTTCCTACATGCAGCCATCAGGAGCAGTGCCATTCTACAGGTCCAATTACATCAACTGCAGGAAGAAAATGAAACTCAACAAAATCAAGACAGCATCCAACAATAACATGTTGGTCCTCCCTGAACATTTATGCTGCATGGAACCAACATATCGCAAAGTATTTGGCATACAAAGCATGGATACATGCTAGATGAGCTAATATATGTTGGAGTTCTTTCCAATATTAATGTAAAATGCGGTTTTATTGTTAAAATAAATTAGAATGTACTTTATTGATTCATGGGGCAATAACTTATTTGTTGACAAGCTACTACCATACAAAGTGTTAAATATTAGCAAACAAAAATATAGCAATTAGTGGCATAATTATATAGTAATTACTGAGGTTGATCACCATGACTTACAGCCAGAATGGCTCCGTTATTTTTATGTTGTTAAATTCTAAGAAATTGGAAGAAGAAATGCTGTTAGGACAGCGGCTCCACTTTAACGTTGTTACGGTGCTGATGCTGACCTTGCAGGTTCTGTGGGACGGAGTCCGGACGGCTCTGGCCGGTCCTCCTCTTCCTCAGATGCTGGATGAGCACCAGCACTGTGGCGGTGACAGCCAGCAGGTACCAGCCGTACAGGGACAGGAACTCCCCTACTGCCGGGGGACAGGGAGGAAGCATTTCAATTGTGCCGTGTGCTTCCCAACAACTATCCACTCAACTTATTAGTGTCTGATTTCCTGGCGTGTGTTTCAAGTAGAAAGACTCAAAACTGTTAAACAACAGCCCTTCTTAGCCGGTTTCATATCTTACACGTCATGTAACCGAGACCGGAAGTGTTGTCGCTGGTTACCTGTGAAACTCAGCTGACTCAGGTCCTGGTTCTTCAGAAGAACCTGACGGGGAGAGTTGTCATCGTCCACATCGAATATTTCCACATCGTCATCCATTTTACCCACCGGTACTCACACGCACGCACGCACAAACACACAGTGTGTTCTTAAAGGCACAAATCACACAGCGAGTCTGTTTTAAGCTTCTTACTGCGGCGCAAACTTCCTTATATTCCTTATAGCTCCATTTTAGCGGAATCCCAACTAACTGACACAAAGCCAAAAACTAGCTACTCTCAATCCAGGATAGCGGTGACGTGTTTATCTTCGTGTTATTAGTATTCTTCTGATTTTTATCGCGGTTGGCAAGCAACTTACTAATGTGCATTACCGCCATCTACTGGAATGGAGTGTGGATCGGGACGCTACATATATTTTCCCACAATATATATATATATATATATATATATATATAATATATATATATATATATATATATATATATATATATATATATATATATATATATATATATATAACTTAACCTTTAACTTTTCTATCAATTTCGTTTTCTTAAGGTAATTCATTAAAACACAAAAATATTCAAAAGTAGAATTTTTGTCGAAAATATCTTGGGTATTAAACTGTAATTCATTTTCTTGTAATCTACTAATTCCCTTCTCTCAACAGAATATTTAGAACAAAACATGTTTAATTGTCTCCTCTTGAAAACAAAAATCACAATTTCTTGTTGGATGTTTTCCCATTTTAAATAATGTACTATTTAACCCTGTATGAGCAAAACGTAATGTGGACATAACGATTTCCTCTTTTTTTCCGTCCTGTTCTGCTCATTACACCAACTTTTCTTTGAATACTGTAAAGCCATCTACCAGTTCTATCTTCTTCCCACTCTTTCTACCATCTTCCCCTAACCTTTTGTTTAATAATAGATTTGATCGCTTCTTTACTGAATGGGACCAATATATCAATATAACTATTTTTTGTGGCTTGTTTAGCATATTTATCTGCCAACTCATTTCCTTTTATTTCTACATGTGATGGTAAACAACTAATAAACCCATTGTCTAAATTCTATAAATTAATAACTGAATCCCTAATAAAAGGTCTGCTCTACTAATCAATGATTTTTTAATTTTTTTTTTTTTTTTTTTTATGAATATACTTGAATCACGACGTGTTTAGCTTCGCAGCAATCTCTTCTTCATCTGGAGTTTTGTACCAGTGTTCTGCTACCTCAATGATGATGCTTGGCTTAAGTTGAAAACAGAGACTGCTTTGAATGGAGCTAAAACAGTCTCATTATTCACAAATGCACTTAGCGCAATTTATAAATACACACAACGATTCACACCTTCATAGGATACTTTGTGTGCACAAAGCAATAGTTACAAATGCACAGAACAAGATTCATGCTTGCATTTTTGATACAAACGCAAATATATCTTGATTAAATCAATGTTCATAGAACTTGCCTGCTCAACACAATCTGACTGATTGGACAATGTAGGTTTTGAGTTGCTCCACAAGATGGCAGCAGAGCAAACTAGTGCGCAGGAATAGATTTTGACAGGTTCAGCTCATGTCGAGTTAGTTGTATAGTATAATCTGTTTTATATGATAACTCCAGCTGATGCTGTCACACAGGCCAAGCAAACACTGAAAGTATAGATTTCAGTAAGATGGAGGTTAAATCAGCCTTTTACTCTTTTATCCATAGAATATGGCAGAAGTGTAGGACTACAGTTAATACATATGCTTTAAAAATGTTTTATGTGAGAGAAAGGTTGGATATAATCTATAGTCAGATTTTCTTTAAAAAGAAGGAACCTCGAGCAGAACTTCTGTGATTTTTCACTATCTGCTCTGTTCTCCAGATCTTCAGAGAACAGATGTCATTTACCTTTTTTAATTTCTTCTAAATAGTCAGTTGTTTTTATGTACACATGCAAAATGCAAAATCTGTGCATTTTTAATAAGTCACTCAGCTGCAGATTTCTTTTGATGTATGATTGCTGTTTATGTTTTTTCTTCTATCCATCCTAACAAAATTCCACAGTTACCTCAGCTGATACCCGATTCTAATGTGGAGAAGTAGCAGCTCTATTGGCTCTATTGGCCCCTCTTTTGACTCCTCCTACAAGTGGAGAGCCCATGGGAAGGGGACCCATGTTTCCTCTTTGAGTTGAGCCCGGCCGAGCCCCGTGGGTTGAAGCTCATCAGCCACCATCTTAAGCAGTGGCGCACTGACACCCTCTAGCTCCGCCCCTCAATCAATCAATCAATCAATCAATCAATCAATCAATCAATCAATCAATCAATCAATCAATCAATCAATCAATTTTTATTTGTATAGCACATTTCAGCTACAAGGCATTTCAAAGTGCTTTACATCATAAACACAAAAACACAAAGTCATGCAACATAGAATAAAATACCAAGTGTTTTTTTTTCCCCCTTTTCTTTTTGTTACGGAATTTAAGCGCCTGTTACCGCCGCACTCCGCCGTCCGTTCAGACTATCATGTTATTATGTCTACACCTCAGACCAGTAGGTGGCGGTAATAGTACTTTAGGACTGTTTGTCAACCCCCATTCACTTACCTCCGAAGAAGACAACAAAAACACGAAGAAGAAATCTTTGTTCTGGCGGCAGTGTGTGACACGTTTTGATTAGTTTGGTGAAGAAAACTCGTTGAAGAAAAACAGAGCCTAAAGCTTGGCTCTATTGTCGATATGGTGAAGCTATCTGCGGAGCTCATAGAGCAGGCTGCTCAGTACACCAACCCAGTGAGAGACCGAGAGTTGGACCTACGAGGTAAGTCTGTGCGCCTCCCTCGCAGCGGCATCGGGCCTCGTTGCTTTTAACTTCATTCAGTCGGAGAACACCAGGACAGGAAGTAGCTGTGTCTGCAGACTGCAGTACCTGGCTTTGCGAGGCGTTCAGAACAGCATCTTCATTTGCTTCCTTTTTAATCATGTTGGCTGACCCGGAGAAGCTAGGCTGCTAGCATGGTAGGAAATCGGAGTGAAACTACAAGCAGGAGACTTTCTGGAGTTTCCAAAACGGCTCTGAATGCTCAGTGGAAAAGCAGCCGTGGAACAGGTGTTTGTATATAGAAACTATTCAAGTACTTTGACTTGAACCTTTCCTGTGTTTTACCCTAAAGGTTATAAGATCCCGGTTCTGGAGAACCTGGGAGCGACTCTGGACCAGTTTGATACCATCGATTTCTCTGATAATGAAGTGAGGAAACTGGACGGTTTCCCTTTGCTCAAAAGACTTAAAACGTTGCTGATGAACAACAACAGAATCTGGTAAGATGTCAGATCGAAGTGATCAGATGCTGATTGGAAGTAAATGGATCCTGCCTGGTCAAGTGGTGCCAGTGACCCCAGGCTGTGGTCAGGGTTTCCAGCCAAAGCACAATGAAAATCCCCACCAAAAAAGGGCTAAATCTCATATGACTATTAGGGTTTATTTATTGTTGTTGTGTTTTAATTTTGGATATTTCAAACATCTTCCAGTTCCAGTGATAGATGTTCTTTACAAAGTTAAAGTTTTCTGATTTTTGACAGGGTGCATCATCCATGAATTACTTGTAAATAGTCTCAACACAACAATATTACTGTCATCATAATAATTACTGAGTCAACTTGTTGTCCAGTGTAAGTTGCTATTCTGACAGGCCTACATCATGTGAGGTGTTAATGTGGCTGTTGTCTCTCATGCTGCTGCGCTTCTTCCAGTCGGATCGGGGAGAACCTGGAGCAGTCCCTGCCAGATCTCAGAGAGCTGGTGCTCACCAACAACAACATCCAGGAGCTGGTGAGTAATGTTACCATGGAGCCCCAGTTTCTGCTGTTTGGAACACGTGAAGGGTATAAAATCAAAGCAAACACGAGAAACTGTTGAATGAAAATTTGACCAGAACTAGGGCTGCACCAGTTTTCTCGCCGATCACTGATTATGATCTTTAAAAGGCATAACATGATGGTTCCAATTCCGGAACCATCAGGTTCCAGCATGAACATACTGAACATACTAGAATAGCTATTGAAGTCAGATTGGCCTTTACCCTTCTCCTTACTGGATAGAAGTACAACCTGTTGAAAGTCTGATCTGCTGCTCACACATCAGGGCAATTTGGGGTCTAATTTAAGTAAAATTAAAACCTGCCCATATTCATCTCTATTGGAACTTAGTTCTCCTTCTGCTCTCATTTTGTCTCAGGGAGACTTGGATCCACTGGCCTCAGTGAAGACGTTAACCCTGCTAAGGTAAAGCTCTCACAAACATGTTCTGCTGCAATGGGGCTGAATGTTGGACCCCTCTTGGTCATCACCTCCAGACATGCAGCTCTGTCCTCTGCTTGCAGCTTGTTGAAGAATCCTGTGACAAACAAGAAGCACTACAGGCTTTACGTCATCAACAAAATCCCACAGATCCGTGTGCTCGATTTTCAGAAAGTGAAGCTCAAGGTAAGGTCTGGCAAACTCAAAATACCGATGTATGTTAATAAAGATCAACATGTTCCTCTGACTGTGCTGTTCCAGGAACGGCAGGAGGCAGAGAAAATGTTCCGAGGCAAACGAGGCGTTCAACTCGCCAAAGACATGGCCAGGCGAACAAAAACGTGAGTCTGCTTCAACAGCAACGTCTCCGGATCCCTGATGAACTACTTCCTTTCAGCAAACCTGAACTATCATTATACATTTACATACATGTAGTGAAGAGGACAGCAGTTGATTCCGTCCCAGTCTCACAGATGAGGAGAAAGTCTAAATAAGCCGTGTCCCTTTCAGGTTTACTCCTGGGGTTGTTCAGCCAGAGAAGAGAAGGACGGGGCCGTCTCAAGCTGATGTGGAGGCCATCAAGGTCAGTTTGTCAAGTGGGCTCTCTGACCCCACCAGTCACACAAAGATAAATGTTTTTCTCACTTTTCTCCTTTGTCCTTTTATAAAAGGACAGATAAGAACTACATTATCCATGAGTAATAACTATCTAGACTGATAGATGACTGTGGGTCGTTATCTAGCTGTAGTAGGCTACATTTGGAAGGCCTCAGTGCTGGAGATATGTCTGTAATCAGGGTCATAGTTTGTGTCCACTTTTTTTAAAATATACTGCAGCTGTACAGCCAGCATGAGGTTCTGATTCATTTGAGAAGAACACAGGTTGTGCTTTAGCTTTCTTTCACTGTGATGTTGATAATCTGCATCGACTCCAGGCCAGATTGTAATAACATTTCAATAGTGGTTTTATCTGATCCCAGTGCAGCATTGGACACAATTGATCATGACATTTTAATGTCCTCATTAGAAAATAGAGTTG